TATCAACACCCACTGTGTGCCAGGCACTGTGTGGGTTCTTGTATAAACATGATCTCATTTAATCCTCACTAATGTCCTTTGAGGTGAATATTTATTATCACTCTTCTTACAGATGAGGAAACCAGGACTCAGAAAATCTGAGTCTCACGAATTGATCTCATAAAACTGGAAAATGACGGAACCAGGGTCGGAGCCCAGCTCTGTGTGACTCTAGAGCCCCTTCTCACTGCACCACACTGCCCCGGAGTGAAAAGGGGGTGGCACATGAGTGAGTGCAGGAAGGAGGTCTCGCTAGCCTGCGTCCTGGGACTATTACTCACACTGTTCCTTGTTAATAATACGCTTTGTGACTTCATATGTGCCAGGTACTTTACATGCATCACAAGGATCTGGGCGATGGATGCTTATTATCCCCATTTTACAGGTGGGGAAAATGAGACAGTGAGGGCCAGAAAGGGCAAGTGGCTTGTCCTGGGCAAGGCAGCTGGTCTCACCAGGTTTCGCCCTCAGGTTTGTCTGCCAGTGGAGCCCATGTTTGCACCACTGTCCTACGTGGCCTCTCCTCATGGATGGCTCCATCCTTCTGGATGTGATGGATAGAGCTGGGTGCAGAGATTGGAAGAGCAGCCCAACTTTCCTAACTGGAGGACTGGAGTGAGAGCTCTCACTGTCGGCCTAGTGTGAATCAGCTCCTTTCCACCACATTCCCCAACTGAGGAGAGTCTATACCAAGCTCACAGCACTGAGCCGCTGGGGGAGGGCCAGCCCACACCCAGCCCCGTCAATCTTGGTGGCATGGATTCCCTTCCAGAGCTTTCTCAGGAGGCCCCATTTCCTACTGCAGCGGGGCAAGAATTCAGGAGGAGCCCACTCAAAGGGGAGACAGAGGCAGTATTCCCTGCGAGCAGCTCTTTCCTCCCAGAGCTGTCATGGACAATTGGAGAGAAAAACCGGGACATTCTCCCCCACCAGGATATTTTGTATGCTTCGCACTTACTGCTGCGCTCCCTTCATCTAAAAGCTCTAAAATTTCAAATAAAAAGGTACAATGAAAGCAGCAGCAGGATAAATAGCCACAGTGATCTGAGCTGAAACCCTGGAAGCTTTATTCACATCTTTAGAAAAACTCTGAAGGCTCCTAGTAGCAGCTGCAGTACAAAGCCTCACACTTTAATTCTAAGGCTGCCAGAAATAGGTCTGTCAGGCCTGAAATATCACTGCATTTCATTACTCTTAAATGTGCATTACCATCTCCGCTTCATTACCAGCTGGGGGGTATTCTCGGGATCAACTCCGAAGAGCACCGGGGATCTGGGATATATGGGGAAGGGCAGAGGACACAGCTGGGGCTAAAACACCCAGATGGGTGGAGAGACCTAGTGGGCTTAAAGATCACACTAGGCCCACAGGAGCGGAGGGTCCATGTCCCCACCAGAGGAAGGCAAGCTGCACTCTCCAAGTCTGATGTCACCCACTTGGGCGGTGAAGCCAGTATGGGAGAAGCAGCGGCAGGACTGCTGGGGCAGTGGAGAGGACAGTTTTTGAGCACAAAATAGGGCCTATGGAAGCAATGGATAAAGGGCCGAGGCCTTCGAGCCCAGCAGCAGGTAGGAACTGGTTAGAGGGAAATTAGGCCATCAGGGCCGGGGAAAATCACAGGCACAAAGCAGCCAGTGCAAAATCCTGGAAGGAGGTGGCTGCTGGAGGTTTGGAAGTTTGGAGCCTGGAGCAATCTGCATGTTTATAATAAAACTGACACTCAGGGCAGCTCTGAATAATTCAGTAGGCACTGTGATCTCGTTACAGTGCGTGTCCCTGGGGTACAAAGGGAGAGGGGCTGGCTCGGCCCAAGCTGGCTGCCGCCACCAGGCTCCCTGAAAGGGCGTGACAGATGGGCCGACACCAGCCACCACCCAGTCACGCTTCGCACGGTGATTGGTTTTCAAAGGAGGACAGGGTTTGTGAATGGAGCCAGCTTGTTGCTTGCTGCCTTCAAATGGATGCTGCTGGGTCGCGTGGCCAGCCGGGCCCCCTTGTGAATGGGGCATCACCAGTGGGTGGTGAACAAGCCGGAGATGACTCCCCTTTCCCCTCCCCCATGATTGCTGAAGCTGAGATGGAGGGAAAGGCGAGCAGGGCCCCTGACCCTTCTCTCTGCTGACAGGTTTAACCCTCCATCGGTCTTCCTCGGCTCTAACCCTGCATCAGTGAGAATTAGGTTCAGGGGCATATACCATAAAAACAAAAAGTTAAAAACAAGATGAGAGTGTCTTTTTCTCTCACGTAAACAAATCCAGAGATAACTAGTACAGATGTGATTTGTGAGCTCCACCACCATCAGGACCTAAGCCCCTTTCCCCGCACTACCCTGCCATCCCCAGTCCTCAGCTTGCTAGTCCTGGTCCCAAATGACTGCTCAAGCTCCCACATCATGTCTCCATTCCAGCCATCAGGAAAAGAAGATGGGAAAAAGCTGCCCAGAGTGCATACTAGTCACTGAGATTTCCCAGAAGCTGCCACATGCGCAATAGATGACAACTTGATTACATGGCTACGCTTAGCTGCAAGAGAGGCTGGGAAATGTAAGCTTGTCTTATATGGCCATTTGTTTGTGGGTAGATAATTCTCCATGGTTCTATTCCATTTCTACACATCTTGCAAATGAGGCATTGACTGTCCTTTGTTCCAGGTTATCATTTTCAAGATATAGCGGACAGCCTTGGAAGATCTAGTGTCTCCCTCCCAAAGGGGCAGGCATGCTGCCCCTTATAAAATAGACATGGCCCATTATAAAAGATCTGGGTTCCCTAAGCTCAGGGTTCCTGTCCTGAAATGCAATCCACTGTGTGTACAGGCATCACCTGGCCCTTTCCGAAAAACCCTGTGGGGATTAGGGCTGGTACTCTTGCTACTGCCATTGCTGTGAATAGTAAACTGTCCTTCATCTCTGATCCAGGAGTCTGGGCTTCTAACACAAGCTGCGACACTGGTGGGCTAATTTGTTAGCTTGTAAGTAGGATAAACTTTCATACCCTTCATAGTTCCTGACAGTGTTCAGCTAAGAATCAGGGTTTCTTCAGGGGTAGTTACTAGAAATCTGCCATAGGCTTCTTCCCAGCTCCTTGAGTTGACCGTACAGGTGTTTCCAGGTATCTGGACCCCTCCCACCACCAAAGAGGGGAGTGCCTTCAGGTAAAACTCCAAAATTATAGCAGGTCTCGAAATGCCTTAAGACAGTAGGAGTCAGCCAGGCATGCTGGCTCACACCTATAATTCCTGCACTTTGGGAGGCCAAGATGGGAGGATCACTTGAGCCCAGGAGTTCAAGACCAACCTGGGTAACAATAGGGAGACCCTGTCTCTACTAAACCAAAAAAAAAAAAACAAAAAGAAAATTAGCCAGGCATGGTGGCACATGCCTGTAGTCCTAGCTTCTCAGGAGGATAAGGGGGAAGGATCACATGAGCCCAGGAGGCTGAGGCTACAGTGAGACATGACTACACCACTGCCTTCCAGCCTGGGTGACAGGGTGAGGCCCTATCTCAATTTAAAAATAAAAAGTAAAAAAAAAAAAAAAAAGAGTGGGAGCTCATGCACCTGCTCACCCCCTCAGCTCTGAGGGTTCTCTAAAGAACCCCATGGGCCGGGCACGGTGGCTCAAGCCTGTAATCCCAGCACTGTGGGAGGCCGAGGCAGGTGGATCACGAGGTCAAGAGATCGAGACCATCCTGGTCAACATGGTGAAACCCCGTCTCTACTAAAACTACAAAAAATTAGCTGGGCATGGTGGCGCGTGCCTGTAATCCCAGCGACTCAGGAGGCTGGGGCAGGAGAATTGCCTGAACCCGGGAGGCGGAGGTTGCGGTGAGCCGAGATTGCGCCATTGCACTCCAGCCTGGGTAACAAGAGCGAAACTCCGTCTCAAAAAAAAAAAAAAGAACCCCATGGACTTCCTTGTCTCCATCCAGTAGGACCTGGAGCAGGCCTTGGGATCCAGATTTAGGCCAGGTGCCACGGAGCCAGCAGGCAGACTCGGCAGGAATCCCTTAACAGCATTCTCAGCATCCAGGGCTCCAGGTGTTTCCTAGGCTGTCAGGACAAGGACAGGGAGCTCAATCCAGTGCCAGGGACTCTGCTTGCTGCCTCATTGCCAAGGGGAGAGACTCTACACAGTGAAATCTGGATTACATATTAAAAAGTTTCAAACCCCTAAATGCAAGGTGATGTCCCAGATTGAATCCTAGAACAGAAAAAGGACATGAGTGGAAACGTGAAGTCCAAGTAAAGTCTGTAGTTTGCTTAATAGTATTGTTCCAATGTGAATTCTTCATTTTGACAAACGTACCATGGTTAGTTAAGATATAAACTTTGGGGGAAGCAGGGTGAGGAGTACATTGGAATTCTCTACACTATTGTTGCAACTTTTATGTACATCTAAAAATTTTCCAAAATAAAAAGTCTACTAAGAAAAAGCCGAAGAGACTTCAAGCCCTAAGCTCAACATTTAAGAGGCAGGAAAAGAAAAAGATGAAGGGTGGGGCACGGTAGCACATGCCTGTAATCCCAGCACTTTGGGAGGCCAAGGCAGGCAGATCAGTTGAGCCCAGGAGTTCAAGACCAGCCTGGCCAAAATGGTGAAACCCTATATCTACTAAAAATACACAAATTAGCCTGGCATGGTGTGCACCTGTAGTCCCATCTACTCAAAAACTAGGGTAGGAGAATAGCTTGAACCCTGGAGGTGGAGGTTGCAGTGAGCCGAGATCTTGCCACTGCACTCCAGCCTGAGAAACAGGGCAACACTCTGTCTCAAATATGTATGTATATATGTATGTGTGTGTGTGTGTGTGTGTGTGTACATACATATATGATTATTGTAAGTATTTAAGTTCAAAGAGCTGGGTTAGGACCTCTCTTCTGGAGTTAACCATAAACCGTCCTCTTTCATCGTCAAAGAATATCCAGGATTGGAGTAAAAATGGAAGCAAAGGCAAACTCACCCTTTGCAAGGCATCGGAGTGGGCAGTCAACCCGGACCAACGCCAGCATCAAGGTCGGGTGAGGCCCGGCACGCACTTGGTCCTTGGGCAGTCCCGCGGCGCTGCCGGAAGGGCAGGCTGGGGCCCCGGCCCTGCGGCCCCCGCTCTCCCGCCTCCGCTCCCCGGGGAGCACCCGGGCCGCGCCCTCGCGAGGGCCCCAGCGCGAGAGGCCCCGCCCGGCCCGGCCCGCCGCCCTCGGAGGAAAAGCTGTTTGCTCAGCGCGGAGGAATGCGGCGCCGTGCTCCGCGGGGGAAGCTCGGGAAGTGCACAGCCGCCGGCGGCCGCAGACTTCGCCCCTTTGCACACGGCGGCTCCGGGCGGGAAAAGCGGGGCGGCCTGAGGCCCCAGGCCCGGCCCCCGGCCCGGGGTGGTCCAGCCAGGGCTCCCGCCTTCGAGGCCGTTGAAAAACGGCGGCAGACGCAGGCCCGAGGGCCGAGGCAAGAACCTCCCACGGAAAGCTCCAAAGAGGCGGGGGTTTCTGCCTCACTGTTGTGCTCATGATTCATCTGTGGCGCCTGAAGAGTGCCTTGAACATACTAGGCGCTCAGTAAACATTTTTTGAAAGAATCGCATAATCCTCCCGGCCTCAGTTTCCTCCTGTGTACAGGAAGGGTTTGATCTCGGAGGGCCCTATCAACTCAAATTCTAGGATGCTGAGATTAAATCCCACGTGTACTGCTGTGGTTTCGCTTTTAGTTTTTTGGGGACATTTTTAGTGTTACCCTTTATGATGTGCCAGGAGTGAATTTGACACCAGATGGCTTTTTTTTTTTTTTTTTTTAATAAGAAAGAAGACAAAGGGAGGGAGAAAAATATTTTCCGACTGGCAGTGCTGACAGCATTTTGGAAGAGAATCCAGGAAGGCAAGGGAGCTGTTTCAGCCCGATTCTGCCTCCTCCTGCACACTCTGCCACCCTGGCCTCCACCATAAATGAGGTCGATCGGAGTAGAGTTTTTTATGGATGAGGCAAAGGGAGCATCGTCACAGGAGACTCCACCCGAGTTAGCAGTTGCTTTGCCCTCTGTGGCTGTCACAGCGGAGTGGCCCCTGAGCCGCATGGTGGTGGATTCCAGCTATAGGCCGGGCTCTGGCTAAAGGCTGAGTCTGGTGTTAATTAGAAGAAAAGAGAGACACCTGGTGAATCAAAAGCTGGCGCTCCCTGCCTGGGGAACATTCAGGAAAAGATAGCCAAAGTGGCAGTACCTCTTCTGGAATTCTTCTCTGGGATCCCAACTCCCTCTCATGGAAAGGCGGGGTAGAGAGAAGTTCCTTGCTCAAAATGACCTCAAGCTGAGTTTTTAATATGTCATGGCGCAAGGAAGGGAAATTCCTAGAATAAAACAATTTGGCAGTGTGCACAGGCGTGCCAACCAGGGATTCTGCAGGCAGTCTGCTTGGGTTCAAATCTGGGCTCCACCACTTACTAGTTGTTTGATAAGGATAAACGACTTTAATCTTTCTGTACCTTAGTTTCCCCAACTGTAAAATGGAATAATTAAAATTCCCACCAAAGGCAATTGTGTGGATTAAATGAGATAATACAAGAAAAGTGCCAGTGGTCTGCCTCTTCAAACAGACACTGGCACAAGGCAAGCACTCAATGTTTTCTTTTTTTTTTTTTTTTTTTTTGAGACGGAGTTTCGCTCTTGTTACCCCGGCTGGAGTGCAATGGCGCGATCTCCGCTCACCGCAACCTCCGCCTCCTGGGTTCAGGCAATTCTCCTGCCTCAGCCTCCTGAGTAGCTGGGACTACAGGCATGCGCCACCATGCCCAGCTGATTTTTTGTATTTTTAGTAGAGACGGGGTTTCACCATGTTGACCAGGATGATCTCAATCTCTTGACCTCATGATCCACCCGCCTGGCCTCCAGAGGTGCTGGGATTACAGGCGTGAGCCACCACGCCCGGCCCCCTCAATGTTTTCTTATTTGTTCAGCGACAGGACCCCCAAAACTATAAACTTGTGCTGGACAGGTCTCAAAGTGGCTGCCTGTGAAGAGCCCCACTGTGGTACTCTCACCTTTGGGCAAAGAAGTCTCCATTCAGCTGACTGGTCCCTCCCTCCTCCTCCTTCACATCCCCAGGAAACTGGAGGAAGGCCACACAGGGTGAGCAGAAATGATGTGTCAGGCTCCAACTTGATGGATCACCTCCAGAGGGATCTTGGAGGGAAGAAGGGAGTAGTAGGCATGGAGAAGAAGACTGTCAGTGTCAGTCTGGGAGTTTGGGACTAACGCAGTAGATGGTAGACAAACCAGTGCACTGATGCGTGAATGCAGTAGCCAGTGTATAAACAAGTGCACTATATACCATAGGTGGCTTATCATGGCCAAGCATGGTCTGTTGGATGTCCTTGATTTTCTACTGATAAACTGTTTTCTAATTGTTTCAGATGCAGTGTTCTCAAATTTGACCAGCAAACTCCTTGAGGCCAAGTCTTGTCTTTCTGTCATGGTATCCATCTGACACAAATATGTCTAAGATGCTACTCACAAAGTAAAGACTTCAGAGGTGCTTATTGATTGGACGAGATGTTAAACTTGAGCAGATAGGAATTCCAGGCTGCATGGGCAGGGGGAGACAGAGGCAGCTGGGCATGTAGAGATCAGAGGTGTGACTCATCTGCTGGCCCCAAGTATCTTCCCTCCAACCCACAGTAGAAAATCTCTTTATCAGTAGAAAATAAAGAACATCCAACAGAGCTATAGATCATGGTCGCCATCACAAGCCACCTATGGCATATGGGGCACTTCAAATACTCTACTCAAACCTCTGCAGTTTCCAGAAAGTCAGCGACACCAAGGTTCCCAGCCTGTCCTGCCACAGGGGAGGTGATATCCATGCCAGCCCTGGGAAAATATCTCTCTCCATCTGCTCCATCACTCCTGGCCTGCAGGAGCCTCCAAGGCAAACTTTGCTGCCATTTCTGTCGCTTTTCTAAATGGACACTGAACTTCCATTGCTGTAATCAGGACAGAGTCCACTGTTGCCCTGAGATGTCTTCTAGAGTCCTCCTAAGTGTCTTCATGTGGCTGGCCCATCCCATCATTTGGATCTTCTCTTCTTCAGAGAAGACTTTCTTGACCATCCTCTATCAAAAGTAGCTGCCCCCCTGCCAAATTACTTTCCATTATCTTATCCTGCTTATTTTGTTACTTACATGTTCATTGTCTCTCTACCCAACCCAGACTGAAAGTTTCCCTAAGGACAGGGACCTCGTCTTTCTGTCTATTACTGTATCCCACCCCGTTTCACAGTGCCTGGCACACGGCAAGTATCTGCTTGATGAGTGGTGGCCTCCTTCTCCCTGAGTTAGTTCCCTTCTCTCTAACAATTTTATTCAGTTCTTTTCTATTAGGTAGTTCCTCTGCCTTCAAAAAATGCATCAGCTCCTTTATTTTGCAAACTCTTTTCACCTTTTTTTTTTTTTTAAAGGTGGGGTTTCACCATGATGGCCAGGCTGGTCTTGAACTCCTGACCTCAGGTGATCCACCCACCTCGGCCTCCCAAAGTGCTAGGATTATAGGCGTGAGCCACAGTGCCCGGCCTCTTTTCACCTTTTAGCCATCAGCTTTTTTTCCCATCTTTCACCCCACCTACTACCTAGGGAAAACAGCTAGCCTTCATGTGTCAGAACCTTTCAACTGAAAGCACAGAAGACCAACTAAAAGTTTTTTTTTTTTTTTTTTGAGACGGAGTCTTGCTCTGTTGCCCAGGCTAGAGTGCAATAATGCAATCTCAGCTTACTGCAACCTGTGCTTCCCAGGTTCAAGCAGTTATCTGCCTCAGCCTCCCAAGTAGCTGGGATTACAGACGCCTACACCACGCTAGGCTAATTTTTTTTGTATTTTTAGTAGAGACTGGGTTTTGCCATCTTGGTGAAGCTGGTTTTGAACTCCTGACCTCGTGATCCACCTGCCTTAGCCTCCCAAAGTGCTGGGCTCACAGGCCTGAGCCACCACACCCAACCAAGCATCTTAAACAACAGGCAAGCATATTATTTTTCAGAGGCAGAGAGCACTAATTCCACCTTTAATAAAGTCACCTTCCCTGTGATTCTTTCTGAAAGCCCTGGCCTAGAGGGCTTCCCCTTATGTGTCCTCGGCCCCGGCTGCATCACATGCCTACACCTAAACCAATCACTGACACAGAGGCAGGAAGCATCCTGGTTGGCTGAGACTCATCAACATTCACCCCCTGTGGCTGAGGAGGGGGTCTCCTACCTTGGGCACAGGCAGGTAAATTTCAGGACAAAATCAAGCCTTTAACAACATAGAAAAAGGGTAGAGAGTAGCTGTTGAATCTAGGAACTGCCCAATAACCTTCCAATAAATTGTTTTTCTGCTTAAGTTAGCCATAATTGGTTTCTGTGGCCTGTAATCACAGAAGCCTGGCTGAGCTACACTCAGGGGCTGCGTGATGAGATGACAGGAGCAGCCTTCTTGGCCAGGAGGAGTGCGATCAGCACACATCTGTGAGGCAGCATAGAATGACCACATGGAAGCACACGAAAAATAGTCCCAGGACCTCAGGAAATGACTGTGGAGTGAGGTGTTAGAGCTTAGAGTTAGAGGCTGTGTATTTCAGGTGACCCATTGTGACTATACCCCTAGGCTATGTAACCTGGGGCATTACATGAATGTTCAGTAAATATTAAAGTGGACTGAAGCCCACCTCCCACCCCCCAGTGGCTCATATCTGTAATCCCAGTACTTTGGGAGGCCAAGGTAGGCAGATTGCTTGAGCTCAGGAGTTCAAGACCAGCCTGGGCAACAAGGGGAAAAACCTTGTCTCTATCAAATATACAAAAACTTAGCCGGCCTTGGTGGTGTGCACCTGTGGTCCCAGCTACTCAGGAGGCTGAGGCAGGGGAATTGCTTGAACCAGGGGGCGGAGGCTGCCGTGAGCCAAGATCATGCCAGTGCACTTCAGCCTGGCAACAGAGCAATACTCCGTCTCAAAAAAAAAAAAAAAAAAAAAAAAAAAAAAGAAGGACCACTTGAGCCCTGGAGTTCAAGGCTGCAGTGCTCTATGATCGTGCCTATGAATAGCCACTGCACTCCAGCTTAGGCAACATAGCGAGACCTCATCTCTAAAAAATCAATGAAATTAAATAGTATCTTCCCCTGGTTCCCAAGAGGCCACTCAGGTAAACAACTGGCCTCTCCCACTGGCTGCTTTCCCTTCAGAAGACTTGAACCATTATACCACAGCTTCTTCTCACCTCAACTCTTGCCCTTCCCAGGGTGCATGGTTCTGCACGTGAGCAGTCTCTCACCTCTGGAGCAGGAGACTCCATCATCACTCAGACCTGCCCCACCCCCACCTCTGAGACTCAGCCCTTCCTTCGCTGGCCTAGACCACCTTTCCTTTCTCCTCCTGGCTGCCCACTCCCACTGAGCCTGCTTTGAAGAAACTGGCCCAGTCCCTAGCACATCATCATCTAATCAGTGGCTGTCAATATTGTCTTGACCTCTTCTGCTCCCTGGCCAATGGCCTGCCCCAAAGCCACTTCACTGCCCTCCTTCTGGCTCTAGAATGCCCCATCCCATCACGTCCTCCTCTGAGCTACAAGCTGCTGCCCACTGCTCGCTGTCTCTATCCCTGTTCCCTGCTGAACTCACCACTGATTCTGACAGTCCCACCTCAGTCAGGTCTCACTGGGGACCAGTAATCCTTTTCCTCTTGGGCCCTCATGGGTGGGCAGGGGTTTGAAATCAAGTTCCCACAACAGCTCTTCTAAGTTCCGGAAGCTTCTCTCCTCTCCTCTTCACCTTGCTCCTAACAGAT